AAATAAAATTTAAAATAAAATAAATAAAATTAAAATAAAATAAAATAAATAAAATAAAGTAAAATTAAAATAAAATAAAATAAATAAAATAAAATTAAATAAATAAAATAAAATAAAATAAAATAAAATAAAATAAAATAAAATAAAATAAAATAAAATAAAATAAAATAAAATAAAATAAAATAAACTAAATAAGTAAACCTTATATCACGAACCTCACTTAGAACAATGGGTTAAATTTCATTGGAGTAAATGTTAGGTGGTTTATTAAGAAAGCAGTTCAACTTTATCAGATTACTTAAAAGAAAGGTGCGGTTTTTACTTTAACCTATTGAATATTATTAATGGCTGGACGGTCAGCGTTTTTAAGGCTGGACGTAGTGGATAGATTTCTTGCTAAGAGATTAACATGTTCTGTCAGCTTTTTATTGTATTTTTTTCTTATATTGTCAAATTCAGTTTTAACTAAGGGAATTTGTAGATCTCGGTGAATACTTTCATTCCTTATATACCATGGGGCTCCAGTGATTGTTCTCAATTTTGTTGAGAGAGCTCTTTGTATAATTTCAATATTTGAAGCACTAGCATTGCCAAATAGTTGGATACCATAAGTCCATATTGGTTTTATGATGCTTGTTGCCGAAAATTGCTAATTAATTGAAAACCTTTGTCTGGCAATCATGACAAACAGCTGACATTTGACAAAATAATTTGGAGACTTTGAAGTCATTTAATGAATTTCCGTTTGTCATTCTTTCTTTCTTTTCTTGTGAGTAAATTTCTAGTTTGATATATTTTTAATAAAAAATTTGAACTGTAATCGTTAAACTTTTTACAGATTTTTTAAGCACCAAAAAAATACAGCTAGCAAAAATTTGTCGAGGTTTGTTTTTTTTTATATATGGTATTTATTTTCGCAGCAATGCTGTTATACAAGAGTACTTTATACTCTAGGCACAGAGAAGATCTGCTATTAATGAGGCAATGCAACTTAGAGGCTTGGAGCTTCATCTGAACTTTTTTGGTTTCAATATGTTTGCGCCAAGTTAGTCGTCTGTCTAGGTGAATACCTAAGTACGTTATGTTATCTGCTTGTGGTATGGGAATGTTATTTAGTAAAATTATTGGATTTATTACTCCGATTTAAGGTAAAAAGTACGTATTTTCATTTTAGTTCATTAATTTTAATTCGCCATTTTGACAACCATTTCTCCACCCGAAATAAGTGAGATTGAAGCTAGCACAACGTTTTTGTTTCAACATAAAATTGCCGTATCATCAGCTAACGTTATGGTGACGATTGAGCTACTTTAGTTGAATACCAGTTTCTCTAAGTTGAACACCAGTTTCTATTGGGAAATTATTAGAAGAATAGGAATGATTTACATTTAACTTTAAAACTTCTGTTATGCAGATACGATTCTAAAACTGAGTGGACATTTGAAGGTAATGAACGCCATATCTTATATAGAAGCCCATTGTGCCTTACTTTGTCAAAGGCTTCTTTAACATCAAGAAATACCGCGGAACAATATTCTCTGAGCTCAAATGTGTGTCTTATTTCGTTCGTTATACGATTCATTTGATCAATAGTTCCATGTTTTTCCCTAAAACCAAACTGGTGGAAGGGCATTAGGTTTTGACCGTCAAGGAATGGTTTCAGCTTTAAAAGCAGTGTTCTTTCAAAGAGTTTAGAAAGGCATGGCAGTGAGCTTATTGGCCTGTATGAAGAGGCAAGCGTGGTATCTTTACCTGATTTATGAATCATAATAATTATGGATGTTTTCCACTCTGTTGGGTAAAAGTCAAATTTAATAATGAAATTAAAAAGTCTTGTGATAAAATTTATAGGCAAAAGGGATAAGTTTTTTATCATGATGGGTGAGATATTATCATATCCCGGTGTCTTTTTGCAATCTAACTTGTTTGTGATTATTTGAACAGATGCTGAGTGGGAAAGTCATAGGGTCCTGTTGCAGGATTTGGTTGGAACACTTCTTTTAGATAATCAGCAAAAACGTTATATTTTTCTTAATCGCTTCGCGACGAGTTTCCAAGAGAGTTTCTTATTGGAGAATCGGATTTTATGGGGGAATTTATACCTTTGCTAAAGTTCCACAAGGATAAATGGTTTTTGCCATTTGGACGTAGGTTTTGAATATAATTATATTGTCTGACTTTGGTTTCCTTGCTTAATGCGGATCTAAGTCTCCTTTGGGTTTCCTTAAATAAGTTTTTCGCTGAAGAGAACTTAGATTTTTACCATTGACGCATTAATCTGCGTTTTTGGGATACTAAGTTTTCTATGTCATTATTTGTAAGGACTTTATTGGATGTGTAAATTTTATTGTCTTCAGGAGTGGAGTTTTCTGCTGCTGAAATAAGAATTAAATTTAAAACCGAGGTTGCGTCCGCAATATGAGACTTACACTTTATCTTGTAATTTGTGTGTATGTGTGAACTAATGTACTTTTTATATTTGAGCCACTTTGTGGCTTGTAAGGCTATAGGAAAAATCTCGTAACTGAGGAGTATCTAGTAAACAAAATGTAACTGGAGAAGGGTCAGAAGACAAATCGAAGCTTGTGTATGTTGAGATAAGATTTTTGCACATGGCTTTGGTTACCGCGAAATCTATTGGATCTGGTATTTTATTGTTATCGGCAAGCCAATATGTTGGCTGCCCAGGAGAGAATACTTCTAGTACATTTATTCTATTTAGAATGGAATTGTAAAGCTGTTTACATTTTGGAGAACAGAACCGTGAACCCCAATATGAGTGCTTGGCGTTGTAGTCTCCTGTAAATTGGGTTTCAGTATTGATGTGGCTTTTATAGAATTATAAGGATATATATTGTAGCGACCTTACCGACCCCTTTGCAAGGCCGGGGTATACTCAGGGTATACCAGGTTTCAGAACAAAATAAACTAGCAAAAAGAGATTGTACAAAATGAACATGTATATTAGAGTAGCCGCAAAAAATTTTTTTTGGATTTTTATATGTTTCTGCTTCTTAAAATATTCCTTTTGACGATAAATTAAGGAAAATAAAATTTTAGATCGATCGCATTGTGCCAACCCTTGGCGAATTGAGCTGTAAAAGTACCTCATTATATAAAAAGTCATAAAAATTACTACTTTGCTCGTAAAATATATTACTAATAGTTTTATTTCAGGAATATTTGTGACTGATTTATATTATTTATATATTTTTACATTATGATATTGAATTCACTTACGTCTGCTTATATTTCCTACAAAATTTTTGACACGAAGTAAAAGTTGCAACACTGACATGAATTTCGTATTACGAAACTTGAGTTGCAACATTGCTATTATAACGGTTTATTGACTGTCAAATTTATATTGAGAAAGAGATTGAACGATTACTGATCATTTTACGTAGCGAAAATTAATATGAATTGAAAAATCAAAATCACCTCTAATGCGGCTTAGATCCGATGACGATAATATATTTTTAATAGGAAAATATGAAAGTGAAATCTTTGGAGCAAAGTTGCCGTCAATGAAGTAAGTACTTTAATTGTTTTTCTATAGGACCTTAAAAGAAATTTTTAGAAATGTGATAGCTGTCGTATTACCATTTTGGCAAAAGGCTCATATTCCTACTCTAACTGAATCTAATTGCCAAAAAAATTACAAAAATTGTACGATGAATGAAGGTTATTACAAAAGAGTAGCAAATCTCCACTCGAAAAATGCCGAATCAGAGAAAAAGAGTTCCGTGGAAAAATATAAAATTTTATATTCGATATCGCAGCACCTACTGCTGTTAAAACAATAAATATTCAAGAAGATAAAGATTAGACAGAAAGGCCGACCAGGAAGCATGGCAGGCATTGATAAAAAATTATGTTGTGTATGTTGAGATAAGATTTGTGCACATACCTTTGGTTACCGCGAAGTTTATTAGGTCTGGTATTTTATTGTTATGTTGTTGTTCAGGAGGGAACACGTCTTGTGCATTTTTTCTATTGAGAATGGAATTGTAAAGCTGTTAACATCTTGGATTACAGAACCGTGAACACCAATATGAGTGCTTGGCGTTGTAGCCTCATGCTGCAGAGATCTGTCACCAAAAGTCAAAAAGTAGTCCGTAAATTGGGCCTCAGTAATGTTGAAGCAAGGGGGGCAGTAAACTGCCGATAAAGTTAAATTATTTCCTTTGTACTTAAGGCATATTGATATGTGTTTTATATATTTATGAGGATATTTACGTAGAAAATTGTGTTTTAGACGCCTTTGTATCAAAAATTCCTGTAACACCATGTACTTTACCATCTGGGTGATTGGTTTTATAGAATAAATAATCAGGAATATAAAAGAAATATTTGTTTGCTAAATGTGTTTCTGAGCAAAGCATTACATCTACACTTTCGCGGGACATGAAGTTTGTGAGTTCAAGTTTATGTTAGTTTGAGCCGTTTGCATTCCATATACAAATTTGGTGTAACAGGCTTAAAGGTTGGCGAATTTCAACTCATTTGATGTGGTTACTTCTTGTAAGATTACGCAACGTTTCTTTTTGCATAGCTAACCTGTGCTTCAGTTATTTTTAAATAGGACAGCCTCTGTAGTTTGCAGTGTGATTTCCACTGCAGTTGCTACATTTTTTGGAGTTGAAATACTTTAATGCTTTTTTATCGTATTCGGAACTACGGTGAAGCTCATGCTACCCACATTGAGCGAAGAATGCAATATTGTGCATTGCACTGGACCATTTCGCTTGTGGGGCTCCTCAATGCTAATTCTGCGGTGAAGTAAGAATTGCAGGTTGTAGATGGGATGACTTTCATTTTTTTTAAGCTTAGAAGCTTGCGGGTAAAGTTCAACTTTAAACATGGGTTAAGGAATTTTATTTTTATTAACTATATTTATAACTGCTTTAGCGCTAAAGCCTTTTTCGCTTAGGGCATTTGTGATTTCAATGGGTTCTACATCTGACTCAATACTTTTGATAACGACAACAAGGCCTTTGCTACTCTTCAGTTGGTATGTGTAGTGTGATGACTCTGAAACTATTTTCGGTGTCAATTTGTGTCTTAGTTTCGTGTATATTTCCTCTGGTTAAAGGAACAATATGAAAAGTATTGCTACCAATCGGACTTGCTAGGAGTGTGACAAGGGTATTTGAACTGTGTTCACGCAGGTTAATTGGAGGGTGCTTAAACTTTTTGGTAGTAGGCTGATTAGCTTCCTCTGTAGATTCAGCTAGTTTAGCAAATCTATTACCAGAAAACATATTTGTGGGTGCACTATCTTTGTTAATTTTGATTATTTTAGCACCTCTTAAGTTGCCTTTTTGAGAACTAAGTTTTCGTTTAATATTGACATAGCGTTCCATGCCTGTTTGGATTTTAGTTTTATGTTTTCGACTCGCTAAGTCGGGAAATGCAAGCGATGCTGCAATGTTTTGTAAGTTTTTATCAGTTTGTATAGTTTTCCGTGGCAACTTGTCTGATGCGTCTATTACTAGATAAGTATTATGTTTGTTTGGGATGCTTGTCGTATGTCTTTTCTCTTGGGGTGGATTTGGATTACTTATTTGCATACGTGGTTATTTATGCAAAAAGCAGGTTTGCTATAAGATTTACTTATTTTTCTACTATTAATATACGATTAAATAAAGTTAAATTTAATGCAAATATAAGTAAAAATTAAATTAAATTGATATAAAAAAATAAAAAAAAAATGAAAAATAAAAAAAGTAAATATATATACAGTCAAACTTCCATAACTCGAAGTCCAATTTTGCAAAGAAAATGTTCAACTTCGAGTTAAAGAATTTTTTATTTTTTTTTTGATTTTTGTTTTATTTTTGAAAGAAATTAGAATTATATTTTAAGATATTTATTTATTTAAAATCAAACACACCATAGAAGTTATAGTGAAATTAAATAATTAGAAATTTGTGCTTAGAATTCGTTTGTAAATGAAAATTCAGAATTTCAAATGAGTCTTCTACTTTATTCTTAGAAGGCTGATAAACAATTACACCCACCGAACCCACACCATCACTTTCCGTTGCGCTTAGAATTGGATCCAGTAATTTAGAGCTATAGTGCTCAATCATATCGTTATCTGTAGGAAAGCTTGATGTACAAAATTCATTGTCAAGCTAAATATAATCATTAAGAGTAGCATTGGAAGTTATTTTATTTACTTTGAACCACGCTGCCAGCAACTGGCATTTGCACAAAGAAGCCACTTAAGAAAGAAAAAAAATAAAAAAGGAAGTTCCCTTTTTGGAAATAGGGACTTCCCCTAACAGCAAAACTTAATACTTAAAACAAAAATTCGACTTATAGAATGCACTTTCCTATATTCCTATCGGCACGGATGTTCAAGTTATAGAGAAATTCGAGTTATAAAAGTTCGAATTATAGAAGCAGAATTGTATGTAATTATTTCTCTAAAACCTTGGTGCATTGTTTTTGATTCGAGTTATAGAAAATTCGAGTTATATGTTAGAAGTTCGAGTTATGGAAGTTTGAATGTATTATATTGTATATTGTAATAAATAATTAAATAATTATGAAGGTGGTTAATAAATTAAATAAATAAAATAAAATTACAATGTTTTCAATTATGGTAGTTGTGATGACTGAATTGTGTTGTGCAATGTGGTGTTTTGTTGTGTTATGACGTGTTGTGCTGTGTTGTATTGTACGTTTAGTTTTGTGTTAGCTTTTGTGGAATTCGTTTTTATCAGAATAATAGCTGTCACTATCAGCACTTTTTTGTTTTGTTTATGTATGCACAAAAGCGCACCGATATATTTTCGTGTTTTACATAAAAACCCTCGTGGTAATTTAATATAGCGTAAACATTGGCCGAAAATGACTCATTTTTAATAAACCATTTGAAAGTGTTTACGTTCGTTGTAATTCGTTTGTTCTCATTTCAAACAGCAGATTTTTCAACTTGCCTGTTGATTTGATTTTTGGTCTCTGCCAAAAAAATGTTGCATAAAGGTTAAATATGCCTTCCAAGCTTACAATATAAACTTAAAATATATTTTTAACTTCGATTAATCACGTTTTTGGGAAGTAGAAATTCTAAAAAGAGGTGCATCGTTTTCAAGAAAATGTAAATATGTCAAAAACAGCGTTCCCAAACTGTCAAAATGCTATGAAGAGCTTTTATTTAGGGTATATTCAATGTATTCCTTTGCATTTGGAACATATTTGAAACGCATGCGTACGTCGTTGGGACGCATTCATACAGAATGTGATGGAATGGCTCATTCGAGCTTGAAATTTTATATGCAAGAATGGGCAATTCGCTTCTCATTTTTGATTTTTGACCAAAATGAGCCATTTTCAACCGTATAAGACGTCAAAATCGCAAAATATGACGACGTTAAATATATTTCTAATTTATTCAGAATTCCTTTGTGCCAGACTTTGTCGAAGTCTGTGCGACATCGAAGAATACAACAGAACACATTTTTTTACCTTCAATAGCCCTTTCAATTTTATCGACAATTCGGTGTACTTGATCTATAATCGAATGTTTGTCACGAAAACTAAATTGATGGTTTAGTATTAGCTTTTCGGATTCTATTATAGGCAATAGTCTCTTGTAAAATTGCTTTTCAAAGAGCTTCGAAATGGTTCGTAAAATTGAAATAGGTCTATATGCTTTCTAGCGGCTTGACTGGTTTTGGAATCATTTTTACCTCTGCGATCTTCCATAGGCTAGGAATATATTTTACATTTATTGATGCATTGAATTACATTAACAATTTGCGAACATCTTTATCTGGTAACTGTTTTAAAACTTCGGATATTATAAGGTCAAAGCCAGGCGCCTTTTTATTTTTCAAGTCTTTTATTGCTGATTTTAATTCGCATTTTGTTATTTGATCGATTTGCTGGTTCTACTCTCTGTGACAATCAGTAATTCATCACACTGTACATCATTAAACTGATATATTTTTGTCAGGTTATTTGCGAAAGCTTCGATTTTTTTCTCATTGTTTCTAGCCCATTTTCCATTCCTGTCTTTGAACGTTGGTGTGTAGGTTATGGGTTTCTTTAAGTATTTTATCGATTTCCACAATGAGTGTAGGTAATGGGTTTCTTTAAGTATTTTATCGGTTTTCACGAGTATTCTGTCTTTTTGTCAACTCCAAGTGATGAAATATATTTTTTTTACTAACTCATTTTTGATAAGACGAATCTCAGTTCAGTAACTTCATTAATTCTCCTTTTATTTACAAGAAATCAAGTTTGATTCCATCTTCTTCTTAGTTTCCTATTTTCTTTTATTAGACTCATAATTTCTCTTGGATTGTTCTAGTTTTCTTTTATGTTCAGGGGTACTGCTCCAAGCGGCTCTTTTGGAGCAGCTTATCTTTTCATTTGCTTAATGAACTGTCTCTTTCAAGTTCATCACAAGTGGTCAATGGAGTTAAGAGGTTCACACTATCTTCAAGCAATGTTTTAAAACGCTCCAATCTGTAGATTTATTAGTCAGATAAGGACCGGGATTTTTCGTTATGATCGTGCCAAAGTTATAAAGTTAAATATATTGGTGAATGGTCGGAGTGTAGATCTAAGCACTGTTTGATTTGCATGTAGTGTGATGATATTTTTTTAGTGAGAAAGAAATCTATAAGGTCAGGCAATTTATTTGGATCAGTCGGCCAGCAAGTTGGTTTTCCTGCTGAAATTAATTCGCATCCCGTTTCTATTGCAGCCATTCGCAGTTCTCTTCCCTTTATTGTTGTGAAGAATGAGCCCCAATGAGTGTGTTTCGCATTGAAGATCCTACCTACAATAAACTACCTCCTGCTTTTGAAGTTTATGCAGGATCTGTATGAGTACATCTTTATTGTGTTTATTTGTACTAGAAGTGGCTATTGTCTCCATATTGCTCGCATAGCTGACTTCACCATTATTTTTAAGCGCTTGTGCATTAGATCCGTTTTGTTTTTTATTCGTGGAATGTGTGGAAAGTTTTTTTGTTTGTTAATTAGTTCTTTATTTTGTTCCTGATTACTTATTCGTTTATCTCTAATTTTTTGCAGCTCAATAGTTACAGCATACCCTCTATAGTTCGCAGGATGGTTATCACAACAGTTGCAAAAATTTGGCTGTTCGTTAGCATTTTTTATACAATTAATAGTAACGTGATTGCCTGTGCAATCGTATTGTAAATTTGTTTTTGACTTTTTTTTCAATAGTACTTTGCAGTTCTTGATATTGATTAACATTTGAAATCACTATAGGAGGCGGGCATAACTAACTTCTTTTATTGGGTTCAGTTCTTACAATATGTTTGGCTTGAATGATTACCTCAGGTGAGGATTCTGCTCTACGTTTTATATTGCGTCTAAATTTTTTTATTATCCAATCCGTCTCTTTTGATAGCTCCTCTTCATCTGTTCCATATTTTTGGGGTTTCTCAATCGAACAACTAGTTGGTAATAAATTTGAATCCTTCAATGTACTTTTTGCTTTATGACATTTACTTTCTTTTTTAAGTTGCTGGCATTATCAATTGCAGATCATTTAAATTCCTTTGTTGAAGATCTTTTATTTTCGGCTCGCTTATCTTATTAAAAGTTGGAGTAGAATCATTAAGTCGGCTCAACTTAAAGTTGAAAATACAGTGCAGCGCAAAAATCAATGATAATAATTAGTTACCTATTTAGCTGATATTCTAAAAAACAACTTATAACCACGCTATTAATGTTGCATAAAAGAGATCAAGAATTGAATTACACAATATTATTTTCTTACACGATGTAAAGCCACCCAAATTGTGCAAAAGTTTAATAGATTTTTCACACTACGCTGTCTATATCAGCTGATTATAGTGTGTGTGATAATATATTAAATAAGTAAATATCGGATGAAAATTTTTATTTATTTCTCTCTTTTTTGCAGTGTTTTTATTTTGACGGTCGCAATAATTGATTAATATAGATTAATTTTCTTACTTTCGGTGGGACATTTGACTAGTTATATTATATTATATTATATTATATTATATTTATTATATTATTATTATATTTATAATAAAATGTAGTATTATTATTTATAATATAATATATTATATTATTTTATATATTATACATTACATTTCATTATTTTATGTATTACATTATATTATGATATATATTTTATTACTTTATATATATTATTTTATATATTATATTACTTTATAAATATTGTTTTATGTATGACATCGTATTATTATTATATTATAACACTTTTTATATTATACTACTTTTTTTATATGGTATAATATAATATACCATACCATATAATATATATTATTTTATATTATATTATAAGATTTTATTATATTATATTATATTATATATTATATTGTATATTATATTGTAAATTATATTATATTGTATATTATATTATATTCTATATTATATTATAATATATATTATATTATAATATATATTATATTATATTATATTATATTATATATTATATTATATTATATTATATTGTATATTATATTATATTCTATATTATATTATAATATATATTATATTATATTATATTATTTAATTAATTATATATA